CTCATGAATTTTAACTGGTTAGCCAAATCCCCATGCTAAGTCTATGAGACGCAAAAAATTAAGAGTCCCGCCAGAACTGCAAACACTATCTCAAGCAAATATTGCCAATTTATTCACACTGTCATGACTTGCAGCAATAGCCGATGTAGCGAAGCAACCAAGTTGGGATGGGGGGAGGGTGTTGAATGCTCTCATTAAGGAGGCCAGACTTGGTGGAGGCGGTCGACAGGGGCGGAGCTGCAGGCTATTGAAGGCTGCTCTGCCCCCTGCAGCTGTGTTCTTTGCTTCAGCGTGAGCTAGGAGGCAGGTGAGGTTCCTAATGGGAAATTAGGCCTTTCCCTCTTTGCTCCCCCCTCCTCTTTTCCAGAGAATAACAAGGTTCTCATTGCCATGCCTTTGCCTCAGAGAGTCACTCTATAATTTGGGCAGTTTCTGCCCTTGGCCTTTATTGGCAGCCAGGGATTTCCCAGCAGCAGAGCAAATAATGCTTAATGAATTTCTGTCTGGAAGGAGTGGCACTCTCTCAGCCCCAGGAAGGCACAGGCAATTCCACACATTAACTGTGTCACCACATTCTGAGGCCTACATTTTATTGCATGTCTCGTGTTAGGAGTTAAGCTTTAGCCTCATGTTAAGCTTTAAGCTCTAGCAATTATATTTGAGGAGGGGGGCTCTCTTTTGTTGCAGGTGTCTTGTTAGGCTTTAAATATAATGGCAAATATTGGGAGGCTCCATCTTGTTCTAGGCCTCGCATTCAGCTTTCCAGCCTTTGCCAGTATATTAGGAAGCCTTCATTTGGAGGTCTCCATTTTTTTCAGACCTTATGCCTTTGGGCTGTTGGTGCCTGGGGCCCTTCTGAAGGGGGCTATGTCACATGGTCTTCTGTACCTGAGAGAGAGGCCCTCCAGGTCCTGCCTGGAGCCTTCATGGCCTAACAAACTAGAAGGCAGCATCAGATCCGGTCTGTTCTGGAAGCCATGCAGTCATACTCTCTTGGCTTCAAAGCAAGGCACAGAAACACCATTGGAAGCATAAATCTTGATTATGTGGCCAATTCCCTGGTTTGGGTGGGTACCAGGTATGCTGGCTTTGGCATTCAGGCCTGTATTTTCACCTCATGTTGGGGTGCCCCTCCTGAAAGAGGCTATTTGCTTTGCTGGCTCAGGGGGTGCCATTTTCTACAGTGTTCTACAGGAGTTACCAGGCCTTGCTTGCTCAGGCTCATAATCTCACCCCCTGAAAGGCACAAAAGTTAAGCAGTCGCGCTCTCTCAGCCATAGAGTAAGATACATACACTCAGATTAAATATAAATCTTCATTATATAACTTATATTCATTGTGGTGAATATCCTGGCATGTCTTTCAGGGCTGTGGTTTTGTCTTATGCCAAGCGTCATCCATTTGGGGGGATTGCAATCCCAAAAAAAACTCCATAAGAAAAACTGAAATTCAAATATAATTTACAATATTTCCAGGTATATAACAACTATGATAATTTGTGATTGCTTTAAAAGTTTATATTTTCATTTCCCCTAAACTATAAAGTCATTTCCAAATAATTAGGTACCAGATTAAAGGGATTTTATGTAGTTTCAAAAAACTTGATAATATGTATGGGTCATTGATCTTGATTTTTAGATATGCCAGTTTGAAGTGTATGTGTATAAACGATATTTCTCTTATTCTAATCAACATGTTTTGTGAAATGTGAACACAGTTATAGATTTGATTATAATAATAATATAATAATAAACCTTTATTTACACCCCGCTACCATCTCCCGCAGGACTCGGTGCAGCTTACAAAAGGCCGAGCCCAAAATACATCAGCAAAAAACAACAACAACAACAACACAACAATAAAACTCATAAACAAAGCAGTAAACATTAACAATAACACTACGACGCATTAAAAACACATGGCAGGGTCAAATGTAGTGATTAAAATTTAAAAAAATGCAAGGCATGACCAGGTGACATAGGATAGGTATTTCGGAGATAGGGGGACGTGCAAACAATCTTAGATCTCTGGTAAAGTGCATTTGGGACGTATTGCTTGGAGTTTCCTTATTCTAGGAAGGCACACTGGAACAACCACGTTTTCAGGCTCCTCCTAAAGACTGCCAGCAATGGGGCATATCTGATGTCCTTGGGGAGTGAGTTCCAGCGTTGTGGGGCCACCACCAAGAAGGCCCTGTACTTCATTCCCACTAATCGCGCTTGCGATGCAGGTGGGATCGCGAGCAGTTTCCTTTATTTTTACCCATGTAATTATCTTTAATAGTTTTTGAAATATTATAAAAACATATGAAACAGTTCTGAAACTTAAAGCCCTGTTAGCTGCTATTTGTGTTTCCTGTCATCCACCAGACTCAGGAAGATGCCTAAACGTCTATCAAAGCAAATGAACATTTTTGAGTTCATGGCAAAAAAGAAAAAGCCAAATGAAAACCAAGAAGACAGCAGCGTGAGGACCACCGCAGCAGATGGTACTGATGAAGATCCCAGAACATGTACAGCTGAACTGCAGGTGAAAACTGAGGAAACAGTGGAAACAGCAGTGTCTACCACTGGTTCATCTAACCCAAGTCCTGCCAAAGAAACCATAGAACAGGAGGAAAGACAAGAAGCTGTGTCATTGTTAGACCTTGGACTTTATATAAACAAGAATATTTCTGATGACCAGTTGAAAGCTCAATTAGTGCAGAATCCACAGACTCCATTGCCAGGATATGTATTTCCTGTGGATAAGAAGAGACATCTAAGTTTTCAACACAAATGGCTCAGCAGATTTCCCTGGTTAGCCTACTCATTTCATGCACAAGGTGCACTCTGTAAGTACTGTGTGGTATTTGGAGGAGAAGTTGGGGGTAAAGGTGGTCATCAGCAACTTGGTGCATTGGTTGCTAAACCATTTTTGCAATGGAAAAATGCAATAGAAATCTTCAATAGGCACCAAAAAACAGAGTACCATCGGAACAACTTGTGCTTGGCTGAAAACTTCTTGCTAATTCATAGTGGAAAACATCCTGATGTAACTCGTCATCATGATAAAGGAAATAAGAAGAAAGCAGAAGAAAACAGAAAGAAACTTCTGCCAAAATGTGGAAACTATTGTCCTTTGTGGCCAACAAGAACTGGCTTTAAGAGGGAGCAAAGATTCAGGACCTATTACCCTTCAAGTACCTTTGCACAATGATGGTAATTTCAGGGCCTTGTTGAGATTTCGTGCCAGATCAGGAGACACTGACCTGAAAATTCATCTCCAAACTGCAGCTATGAATGCCCAATATACTAGTCCTCAAATACAAAATGAACTAATAAACATTTGTGGTGACAAGCTAGTCCAAACAATTGTTGAAAGATGCAATGCATCACAGTGTTTCTCTATTTTGGCAGATGAAACTTTGGATGTGAGTACCTCCGAACAGTTATCACTCTCGGTAAGGTACATTGATGTCGAAATTGGAGGAATAAGAGAAGACTTTATAGGCTTTGTGAAGATACCTGATATGACAGGTGGAGGACTTGCAGACATGATTTTGAAAACACTGGAAAAAAATGGGTTGAACTTGCAATATTTGTGTGGACAGGGTTATGATGGAGCTGCTAATATGAGTGGTCATATTAGTGGAGCACAGGCAATTATATCGGAAAAGTATCCAAAGGTTGTCTACATCCACTGCAGTGCTCACTCACTAAATCTAGCCTTAGCAAAGGCTTGCAGCATTCCAGCTGTCAAAAACTGCCAAGGAACAATATCATCTGTGTGCAATTTCTTCAGAGCATCATCCATCAGACTAGAACTGTTGAAGAAAAATATAAAGGACTCTTTTCCTGAATCAAGAGCAAAGAGCCTGTTGCCACTTTGTGAAACCCATTGGGTTCAACGACATGATGCAGTTTTACGTTTTGTTGAACTGTACAGTGTGGTGGTGAGAACACTTGAAGAACTAAAAGAGAGCTCTCTATACAACAGCGAGCCTTCTTCCCAAGCTGAACGACTTCTTTTTACTGTTCTGAAAGCTGGATTTGTAGTAACCATACACATCCTAAGAAAGCTTCTGTCATCATCCCTTCAGCTTAGCAAAACATTACAAAGAGTAGATGTGGACATTTTTGGTAGCCTTCAATATGTTGACAGTCTCTTAGAAAAAGTGAGGGAGATGCGCACAGATTCTGTGAAGGAATTTCAGGAGATCTTTGATACAGCAAAATCAGTGGTGGAGTCTATGGGTGGAGAAGTGAGGATTCCTCGCATCTGTTCAAGGCAGACCTGTCAAAGCAACATTCAGGCAACTTCACTAACACCAATGGAATATTATAGACTAAATGTGTACATTCCATTTCTGGACTTTTTCTGCAGTCAGCTTCAAGAAAGGTTTACAAGACACAGGGAAGTAGTTCAGGAACTGCAAATGTTCCTCCCTATCAATTGTGGGCATTTAAAACCCAACTTGAACAAGTGTACAGAACTTTACAATGAATTCCTTCAAGATTCTGCCATAGTGATGGAAGAATTTGACATGTGGTGTAGAAAATGGAAAAAGATTGCACCTGCAGAAAAACCATCAAATGCACTGGAAGCATATCTTGTCTGTGATGGACAGTTTTTTTCCAAATGTGAAGAAACTTCTTCAGATTTCTACAACATTGCCAGTGTCAACAGCTACAAATGAAAGGTCGTTTTCAACCCTTAAACATTTGAAAACATACACAAGAAGCACAACGGGGCAAGAAAGACTGACTGGACTTGCACTCTTGAGTGTCCACCGAAGTTTATCAATTGAGCCTGATTTCTGTCAAAGTGTATTGACACAGTTTTCAAGTGTTTCTAACAAACGTTGTGGTATTCTTTTGTAACTATAAATTATCAATTAACAATCATTTTCAGTTATTTTAAGACTTGAAACTTTAACTAAAATAGAAATTTGATTTACTGAAGTCTATATATACTTGAAACCATATAATTTAAAGTATTCTATGTTATGGCACAATGAAACATGCCTGTTACCCTTTGTAGTCTTTTACCTAGGTCATTGCTATCTTAAATG